TTTTTTTTTCCTTTGAGGGGTTGGACATAATTGCCTTATTTCATTTCAGGGATCCTTCTAAAGTAAATATTCTGGTACCTGGTGCTGGACTAGGAAGACTGGCCTGGGAGATAGCTATGCTAGGTTATGCTTGTCAAGGAAATGAATGGAGTTTTTTTATGCTCTTTTCTTCCAACTTTGTACTCAACAGGTATTTAATTTACTTTTTGCTAGAAATAGTATTTTCTCAGAATCAGATTGACTTACCTATTTTTGAGCAATTCTGAATTTGAAGATAAATACATAGTGTTTGATTATATGTGTCATAATTGTTTCTTATATTAACATCAAGTTGCTTATACAAAATACCACTTTTAATCAGTTCCTAGTTAGCAGAATATTGTAACAGGATGGATAAGTGACTCTTTAGAAAATGATGAGATATCCCACAAAACAGAAATGCTTCCTGTGCAGAATTGCAAGACTGTATGTATGATCCGGGAAGGAGTGTTTTCTCTCTGTTCCCTAAACTTCTCCACCCATTGGTTTCTTTAATGGAATCAGAGTTCGGTGTAGCAGTCGTAACTTCTTCCCTCCATCAGATTCTTATAAAGTGGCCAAGTATGCTCATATGACTGAGTTGGAAACATGTCTCAGAATTTCTGTGGCCTCTTTTAGAAAATAGTGGAAAAGGATTGTTATTTTTAAAGCCAGAAGAGGTGCATTGGGAAAAAAGAACTAGCTGCCTTGTTTAAATTAAATACAGTGTTTTCTTGGTGGCAGTATGAGTTAGGGAGGGGTGAGAAGGTTAAAAGGAGACAATTAGAATAGTTGAGTAGCAAACGAAACCCATACCACTTTTTTGAGAAAATAGTGGACTGTGTTTTTACTTGAGTCTGAAGTTTGGAAACACATTTTTTAAAATGTGAGTGAACGACACATTTATATTTCTGAATTTACTTTAATTTTTTTCCTGTCTTTTAATTCATGATTGGTTGCTCATCTACATGTGTATGTGCATTTTCAGATAATTGGGGAGGGGTATAGTGGTAGCACTTTTAAGTATTAATGAGTTTTATAAGTAAACCTTCAATCAGATTATATTTTAGTGTTTAAAGTAGATTTTTTTGGTGAAGTCTTTAGTTAACACTGAATTTTATGCTCCTATTTTGCAGATGTTCTGAAGTTAATAAATATAAGCTTTATCCTTGGATTCATCAGTTTAGCAATAACCGGAGGTCAGCGGATCAGATTCGACCCATCTTTTTCCCTGATGTTGATCCCCACAGTCTTCCTCCCGGTTCTAACTTTTCGATGACAGCAGGAGATTTTCAGGAGATTTACTCAGAATGCAGTAAGTCCAAAACAAGCATTTAAACGGTCTTGTCCTTTGTTCTAAATTTAATGAGCCAATTTCATACTAAGGCAAAGTTTTGGTCATTCACTCTGATAGTAGAATGTGAGGTATACTTCAGTGACAATTTAGGATATTCCAAGACATATGTAAGGTAATGATGGGAAATATAAAGAAGGGTAAGATTCCACAATTCAGAAATGTAGACTCTGTTGGGTCTATTAATATCAGATGACATGTAAACAAATTTCAGTGAGTAATGAGTACAGTAAAGCTAAAAGTAGATGAGTGTGGGAAAGAAGTTCTTTGTAGAGAGAAGGCTGTGACTTCAAGAATAGGGAGAGAGAGGTAGTACAAAGAGATGAATGAATAAGGTCATCGGAGACGGTGATACAGCCTGACTGGAAGGAAAAGAGAGGTTGGTTTGGGAGCTTAATGGCGGATGTGCCTAGAAAAGTAGGTTGGTTCCAGATTGTGGAAGACCTTTATAATCAGGTTATGAAGTTTGGACTTCACCTGGGCAAACTGTCAAAGTTTGAGCCAGCATTAGAGAAAAGGAGACGGTAATGGAGAGAGGGGCAAGGGGAAGTGGATTGGCAGTAAAAGCAAGAGGAAAAGTAGAATGCTGAGAGGTCGGTAAGGTCATTAATTCAACAGGTACTTTTCTGAGCACCTGCTAAGTCCCAGGTGTGTTGTAGGCATTGGAAAGACAGCAGTGAGCAAAGCACAGTCCCTGTACAGAGGTTTCTATTCTGATAGGCAGTGAGGGGCAGTGACATGAACATTGTGAGGAAGAATACTAAGGCAGGGTGACAAGGATATAGAGTGGCAGGGGAGGGGCTGCTGTTCATCGAGTTCTCAGGGAAGTCCTTTCCAAGCCAAACTTTAAAAAAATGTTGAGCAGAGAACCTCGAAAAAGTGAAGAGGCAAGCCATTAGATACTTGGGGGGGAATGTTGCAGAGAGAAAGAATGGCGAGAGAAGGAGGATTCGCGGTGGGGAGGGCGCTTGTTCTGCTCAAGGAAGAGCGAGCGGCCCCTCGGGCTGGGGTGTAGTGGGCAGTGGGCACTGCGGTGGGAGGCCAGGTTGGGGAGGGTTTGATTGTACTCAGAGAGGTGGGAAGCCATTAGAGGGATCGAGGTAGGTTTTTGTTTCTTTTTCCCTGAACTCTGACATTGGGAAAACCTGTACTTTGAAGGTGGAAAGAATGAGATGGAAGATGTTGGGTGCTGGGGATAGAGAGCGAGGGCTCAGAATAGAGCTGAAATAATGGGAAACATCAGTTAGGCGAGTCCAGGGGACATTGTTCTGCAGCAGGATTTGGGAGAGCAGATGGTGACACAGGCCTCCTCAGTTGGATGCGTGCCTTTGTCGTGCCAGCATTTGTACGGAGGCCTGCCTTAGTTCAGCCTCTGTCCCTGTCCTGGGCCACAGCCTCCAAGGACACTGCTGTCCAGGGGGTTCACTTGGCCACCTGGCCCCCCATTTTACACCGGCCAGTATCCGGAGCACTGGTGGGTAGTTTGAGTATTTTGATGCCATTCATTTCTTACTTGGCAACAAGTACCTACAGTCTTTCTGAAATTTGTCAGAATTGATGGTTAACATTGGCTTAAATCACAGTTTAAAGTTCAAATAACTATTTATCTTAATTGATTTGAAATGAAGGGTAGACATTGAGTAGATTATAAACAAAACTCTTACGAGTACCTTTTGGTAAAGATACTAGTAATATAGGCTATTGAAAATGGTTTCCAAGCTGATCATCAAATTCTTTCTTTTTTTAAAAAAACTTTTTTTAATGTTTATTTATTTTTGAGAGAGAGAGAGAGAGCGAGCATGAGCAGGGTAGGGGCAGAGAGAGAGAGAGGGAGAGGGGCACAGAATCCGAAGCAGGCTCCAGGCTCCAGGCTCCAAGCTGCCAGCACAGAGCCCGATGCGGGGCTCAAATCTGAGAACTGCGAGATCATGACCTGAGCTGAAGTCAGGCGCTTAACTGACTGAGCCACCCAGGCATCCCGACTATCAAATTCTTAATAAAAACTTTTATGAATTGCAAAGTATCTCATAAATGATTGGTTACCGTAATTACACAGTTGATTGGAAGAGTTTAGCTTCTGTATTCCTCCAGTTAAATTAAATATTCATAGTCTCTTAAGACATAGCTGGTACATTTATGGAATTAATTAAAAGAAAAGGCAGAATAACATAATTAAATGTAGTAACTTGGTTTTCCTTCACTAGATACCTGGGACTGCATTGCTACCTGTTTCTTCATAGACACAGCTCACAATGTAATCGATTATATTGACACAATATGGAAAATACTCAAGCCAGGTGGAATTTGGATAAATCTAGGTAAGTTCCTCAGTATTTATTAGAATCTCATACAGTTATCTGAGTACTTAGAGCAATTCTCTGTTTGGTAATTTCACAGTAACCAATGTTCACAAAGGTTATAGTTAGTTAAGTTGTACAGTATCCTTTAGATACTATCCTAGTCAGTCATGCAGTTCCTCTGAAAGCAGTGGAAACCCCAGAAGTTGTGTATTCTCCTAGGTCATTCTCACAGCAGTCCTCATTTCAAAGAGTACAGTTATTACCCTGATAATCCTTCTCTCATCATCCCCACTCTCCCCTCCAGTGACAGCAATCTGTTAAGAAGGAAGTGCTCTTTTTTTCTTTCAAATGAAACATTTGAAAAAAAGCCCTTAAACCGCCCTCCCCAACTTTCTCCGAGGTACAAATACATAGTGGGAAAAGAGTAGATATGGTGATTTTCAGGACTGCCTTGAGTTTAAGAGAGAATATCATTTCATTTATGCAAAAACCTTTTTACTGCATCCTACTACTAGGTGATGAATATTCCCATCCAGCATCTAGAGGAAGTTACCAGTTTTATCCTCCTCCTTTAAAATAAAGGGAGAATAATAATACCAAGGTAAATATACTTGTCTTTTTTAGTTAGATGTATAATCCATGTTAAGAAAGACATAATGGCTAGGGGTGCCTGTGGGCTCAGTCAGTTCGGCGTCCGACTCCTCATTTCAGCTCAGTTCATGATCTTACAGTTTGTGGGACTAAGCTGTGTGCTGACAGTGGGGAGCCTGCTTGGGATTCTCTCTCACTCCCTCTGTCTCTGTCCCTCCCCTGTTCCTGCTCTCTCTCTCTCTCAAAATAAGTAAATAAACTTAAAAAAAAAAAATAGACGTAATGACTAGAATATAAAGATTTTCAAGATGAGGGTTATTACGTAACATAAGAGGACAGATACACCTTGTTTGAATCCATGGCCTTCAGGATTGGTCTAGTTTTGTTGTTCTGTCGTGTGCTCTCTTTTTAAAAAAAAAAAAAAATTTTTTTTTTTAGCATTTACTCATTTTTTGAGAGACAGAGACAGAGTGTGAGTGGGGGAGGGACAGAGAGAAAGGGAGACCTCAAATCTGAAGCAGGCTCCAAGCTCCAAGCTGTCTGCACAGAGTCTGATGTGGGTCTTGAACTCATGGACCAGGAGATCATGACCTGAGCTGAAGTCGGACACTTAACTGATTGAGCCACCCAGGCACCTCTGTGCTCTCTTTTTAGTGATTGGACTTGACCACAGATTTTCCCATTAGGACTAAGACTAGAGGCAGTATTAGGTCTTTTCAAATTTCTCTTTAGAATTTCATGGGGGCAAATGAGAGTAGTTGTAAAATGTAACCATCATATGAAACAATTATCTCAAACCTTAGATCCTCTTTAAAAGTAGTCACTTCTTTAAAGCAGATTTCTTTAAAAATTTCCCAAGAAATGATTGAACTGTAATACAGTTGACCCTTGAACAATGTGGGCATTAGAGGGATGCTGATCCCTTGCACAATAAAAAATCTGCATATAACTTTTGACTCCCCAAAAACTTAACTACTAATGCCTGCTGTTGACCAGAAGCCTACTGATAACATAGTTAACACATATTTTGTATATTACATGTATTATATATATTGTATTCTTACAGCAAAGGAAGCTAGAGGAAAGAAAATGTTATTAAGAAAATTATAAGGAAGGTGGGGTCTGTGGGTGGCTCAGGTGGTTAAGCGTCTGACTTCGGCTCAGGTCATCATCTAGCAGTTAGTGAGTTCTAGTCCCACATCGGGCTCTGTGCTGACAGCTCAGAGCCTGGAACCTGCTTCAGATGCTGTGTCTCCCTCTTTCTCTGCCTCTCCCCTTTTCATGCTCGCTCGCGCTCTCTCTCTCTCTCTCTCTCTCTCTCTCTCTCTCTCTCAAAAATAAATAAAAAAATATTTAAAAAGTTAAAAAAATATATAAGGAAGAAAAAATACACTGAGTACATTAAGTTTCACTGGCATGTATTTATCAACACAAAACGTGTGTAAGTGGATCGGTGCAGCTCACACCTGTGATTTTCAAGGGTCAGATGTATTACCTACTGGATATTTGCTCACTGGGGGTTAGATGGTGTGTGAGCCACTTGTTTTTTTTTGTTTTTTTTTTTTTTAACGTTTATTTATTTTTGAGACAGAGAGACAGGGCATGAACGGGGGAGGGTCAGAGAGAGGGAGACACAGAATCTGAAACACGCTCCAGGCTCTGAGCTGTCAGCACAGTGCCCGACGCAGGGCTTGAACTCACAGACCACGAGATCATGACCTGAGCCGAAGTCGGCGGCTTAACCGACTGAGCCACCCAGGCGCCCCTGTGTGAGCCACTTGTAAATGCATTATTTAATCTGAAAACAGCCCTATGTTGAAATGGTATGTCTACTGTCTTACAGTTGAAGAAACTGAGTCTTGCTTTTAAGTAACTAGCCGTGGGATCCTTGGGGTCCTTGGGGTCCTGGAGCTTATATATGGCAGAGACAGGCTCACAGCCCAGATCCAATACCTCGAATGCCTAACCAGCTAGCCCTCCGGCTCACCCTGGGTCAGTTTGTGACTTAGCAGTAGCAGTCATGTTATGTAATTAATACTTTTGACCCCAATTACTGAGACATGGTAAGGATTTGCGTATTTCCAAAGCATTGGGTTAAGTTTCACAGAAACCACTTTTCTGTTTGAACTTTTAAGTGGTTTATTAATATTGTATTAAGTTATATAATAACAGTAATTGTTTACAACTGCCTGGAATAAATAAAATTGGCCCTGCCTAAGCATACTGTTTGATAAGAATGGATGTGCTGGGCTCTATTGTGATCTGTCCCAGGCACCAGAGGGAATAGGGCACATTGGTTAGTGGGAGGTCAATGAGGAGATCTTCTACTCTTCTTACCAGAGTTTCAAAACGATTCTGAGAATTAGAGTAGTGGAGAAGCATAGTCCTTAAAAATACTTGTTCGGAAGGTTAGTATTTTCCAAGTAAAATTCTTTTAACGTATAAGCTGAGGGGTGCCTGGGTGGCTCAGTCGGTTGGCGGCCAACTTCGCCTCAGGTCATGATCTCACAGTCCGTGAGTTCAAGGCCCGTGTCAAGGGCTTGACAGCTCAAGGCTGGAGCCTGCTTCAGATTCTGTGTCCCACCCGCGCTCTGCCCCAACCCCACTTGTGCTCTGTCTCGCTCTCTCAAAAAGAAATGTTAAAAAAAACATTAAATGTGGGGCGCCAGGGTGGCGCAGTCGGTTAGGCGTCCGACTTCAGCCAGGTCACGATCTCGCGGTCCGTGAGTTCGAGCCCCGCGTCAGGCTCTGGGCTG